TGGCGCGGTGGTCAGCCGTAGTCACTAAATATGTATGTTGCGGTCAAGCATCGTCCGGTGTCACTAGCTCCCGGATCGGTGACCACCTGGCTTTTTGGTAATGAATCTTCGACCCACATACAAGGAGTTCCTTAATAAACCGTAACCACCATACAAAATGCTAATGGTCATACAGTTAAGCTAATGGTTAAAAAAAATTGGGTGTTGTGAGCACGTGAGAATGGAGTGAAACTTCTTTACGGCGGGTACGAAAAAAACCGTTAGAAAACATACGTATACGTGTACTATATGTCTATATGGTTGGTTTAGTAAAAAAGATACTGAATATACCAGAATAAGAATGCAAAAAGTCAGATTTCGCTGACCGAAATCGAACCTGCAACTGTCTTCGGGGTGTATCACCTGAGCGTAACGGTCACACACTCACACCTTTTTTGAAACTTGTAAAGAAGTTTTACTTTCAAAAATATCTCAACATTTTAAATTAACACTAAGAGAAAAACAAGATTGATACGATACACACGGAAAAGTATAAATTTAAAATTATATAGTTAAAGGTATTAGTTAGTATAACTAGTAACTACCTATAATCTATATTGTAGTAAGCGGCAAACACTGCCAATAAATTAACAAATGTATTCTCATCATCTAACTATTACTATTTTCTTATTTTGTCGTACTCGATGTTATACTTCAAATACGAACGACTAGATCGGATAACTAGTAGATACTTGAAATTTTCACTAAATGTTTATTTTATCATTTACTATACATGATCAAATTTTCAAAATATTTTGACTAGTTTTGTAATATTTATAGACATTTTGAATTAAAAATTTTGTTTAGTTTTTTTTGTATGAACATTAATACATTTTTATTCGTTAAGTCAAAATGCTTGAAAATTGAACACAAGGCTCTTCACAGTTTTATAAAATAAAAGTTGTAAAAGATTAAATATACATGTGCATGGTGATGGTTTTATTTTTTAAGTAAGTTTATTTGGAGTTAAAGTTCAACTTAAGCCAAAATGCATTAATAGTCTCTTGAATTTGCATTATTTTGTTGATAATGGTACTTACGTTGAATCATTTTCTCTTCTTACTAAGTTTTTTAATCTCTCAATCAATTTTCTCCCGCTAGTCGAACTATATTGAGTACGGGTTTTTTTTGGTGGTTACTGGTTAGTGCTTTATTTAAAAGTTTAAAACAATGTAATTGTAAGAAGATACAAAAAATAAAACTTGATTTATAATTTAGTTATCATATACCTAGGTGGCTAGGTACAAATATGAATTACTGTCTACTAAATAACACTGAACAACCAATATACAAGTACCATTTTGATTAAAGCACTCGGATATTGTCCGAATACAATAATTATAATATTTTAAATGTATAATAAGCACGATTAATAAGTAAGAACGTAAAATACCTACTAACATAACTTCTAACGGTCAATTTGCTAGAAAAATAACTTGTCATCTTATCTTCTCAGTTTTTCACTGCTCACTGGTATTATAAATTTTAATAACATTATCCATGGATTATGATATTCATATAAACATAAAACATAAATATTAATATTAATAATTATTATTAATAAATTAAATAAAAATATAAATGCATAAAATGAATATTATAATAACATAATATAATACATATTATAATATATTGTTATATTATGTTCATGAAATTTACGATTAGCAGCGCCATCTAACGTCGTTTATCATGACTAGTCAATGCTAAGCAATGATGAGCTACGAGCCAACGATGGCCGGACTGATTTTGATTAGACGACGCCGTTTTGTTTATGATGTGCGTTTCGTTATCGTTACCAAAGTTCCGGATGCCGAATGCCGAATTCGAAAACTGTCATGTTCTAGATTTACCTTTTAGTTTTTACTGAAGAGTGAATTGTTTGTATCCACAGGTTCACTTTAGAGTGATTCGGTTAATCTACCTTTACCCTCGCCTTCCAACACCAGAGAGATATCTTCGTCTGTACATAACTGATTAGGTGAGTACGTTTGAGGACTTGAGGTTTTCATCCACAACAACATTGTGTCGGCGATGTGTTTTCTTGAAAAAAAATGTTTGAAAACACGTCATTCAACTCTCCGCATCGAAACTTTGGCACCATAGGTCTTCTATACCTGCCATATTGCCGACATAATCTCGATGAAATAATATTCTATTTCTATGCACATTATGTCTTTACCAACAAATGTTCAAAGATATTGTTTAATAAACAGCATGCACACACGTTTATGATGATTACCTATTAGCTTTTTATTTTATTCATTATACCATAATATTTTATGTTGTATTAATTGACAAAATTATTTTTATCTTTTAGAAATTGTGTAAAAATGTTGGACACACGTCCGAATCATACTATCTATATAAACAACTTAAACGAAAAAATAAAAAAAGATGGTAAGCTTATATAGGAGTCAATTAATTTTGAATAATAGTTGTTTAAGACAATTGTATTGTTCTTAAATATGTAATGATTATTTACATTCTTTATAATTTTTATTTTTAAAGACTTAAAGAAATCACTGTACGCAATATTTTCACAATTTGGACAAATACTCGATATTGTGGCAATGAAAGGTATTAAAATGAATGGACAAGCGTTTGTTATATTTAAAGATATAACCAGTTCTACAAACGCTCTACGTGCGATGCAAGGGTTTCCATTTTATGATAAGCCTATGGTAAGTATTAATACCTTATATATTAAAGTTGAATCTAGGCCATTTCCCCTCTCTCAAAACAGGACGATTCCTCCCCCGGACAAAAAATTAAAAGCAAAAATATTAAACAATAATATTATGCAATTCAAATCAATAAATTTACAAATTATTAAATTAATAATTTAATTGAACAAATAAATATAAATACATTATTATAATTCTATATGTTATAATAACACTATTGCCAATACAAAAGTTCACTAAACTAAATATCAAAAATATTAAACAATATACAAATTACAAATACCTATAAATCAATAAAAGTAGGTACTGTTTACTAGATTTTTCATTAAATAATTGTACAAATTGTTCAATTAATGTACAAATGTAATTCAATAATACTTTTATATAACTTTGGTTTATCAATCATTACCCATTAAATTAAACGTGAATAATGATAATCGATAAATGATCATACATATTGGCTAAAATTAAAGAACCTATTTTCCAATCTATTAACAATATATATTGATGGAGGGGGGAATATCTTAGTCCAAAGATGAAACGTCGAGTGCCACTAAAATTCTGTTAAAACCATGTTATTGTATCAAAATTTTTCCTGCATGATGATATCGACAAATTTAAACTTTTATTTAATACTCTTTCAGTTTACTGATGATATAAAAATCAATGATACCGTTCACTTACTCTAATCAAAACTGAATATGTTTACCTCTGGAACAGCTATACCTTATCTGTAATTTAAGTAGATGCCATGCTATAACCTTTTCTAGTTGTGTGTCTGTATTAATTATTAAACTTTCTTGATGGCATTCCTTTTGAATGTCGCTTCCTTTTCAAAGACTTTGAAATCTTTGTTTATCCTACCCTGAATTTCGACCTCCACATGATCATTGGTGAAGGACCTCAACATTTTAGGTTTTATTAAACATGATACAGCAATGTTTTAGCTCCATAGTTTGCGCCCATGTATTATGCTTTGGCTTAGTTTGTTTATTTGATACTTGAGTGCAGAGTGATGGTCAAGCATTCTTATTTTACCTTATTGTGTCTTAAATTGTAAAAATGTATTTAACTATAATTTAAATGAAGGACCAAATTAACTTTGTTTTTTCCACAGTAAACAAATTCAGTTTTCAAGTAAACTTTTCAAATACTGCAAATTATAAAAACTTCTAGTATTTTACCAAGGTCATCAATCATCTTGTCATTCACCCTAGTAAACAAACTTTTTCCCAGAATATAATTACGTGTAAAATTGTAATGAATTTTATAAACCTAGCAGTTTTAATAAATGGTTTATATTCCTATGTTCTTAATTTAGTTTTTATTACATACAATTTGATTGAATAATATCTTTTCCACACACTTGACAAACAGATATTCTTTTCTATGTATCCTAATTGTTTATCTAAATTCGATAAAGTTCTTGTATTTTAATTATAATTGTATCAAATTGTATAAAATGTAACTCAGTACATACCAGACACTCAGATATTTTACTTCTAGTCATCAAGATTAATTACATGTAATATAAGTTTCAAGGTAGGACATTTATTTGTAATATAAACACTGATCCTATACCAGTTTAATAAAAAATTGAATGTTATACTGTATAATGTGTATAATCAAAAAATACACTAGTAGTGTTAGAAGAATGATTTTTATTATATTTTTCAGCGTATTCAATTTGCTAAATCAGAATCAGATATAATTGCAAAAATGAAAGGTACTTTTGTTGAGCGCCAGAAAAAACCCAAGAAGCCCAAGGATGACGAAGAAGCAAAAAAGAGACGTAAAGCAGCTAAAGAACAGGCTCGTGCTTTGGCACAACAAAACAACCCAGGGGGTGTATCTGGTGGTAGTGAGTATTCTTTATACTAATCGTTTTGCATTAAATGTATTGCCATTGTTACAAAACTAATTCTTGTTCTTCTACAGATGTACCTGAACAACCGCCTAACCAGATTCTCTTCTTGACCAACCTTCCTGACGAAACGACTGAGATGATGTTATCTATGTTGTTCAACCAGTATGTTTTGTGTGATTGTTTTGTATGTAATTGAGCTTAATATGAATTATTTTAATTCCTGTAGATTCCCTGGATTCAAAGAAGTGCGACTTGTACCAAACAGACACGATATTGCTTTTGTTGAGTTCGAAAATGAACACCAATCAAATACTGCCAAGCTATCATTAAATGGTTTCAAGATCACACCTACTCATGCGATGAAAATTACATTTGCTAAAAAGTAAAATTGTTCATAATGATTAATGCACTGATCATTTGTGAAGTAACATAACATATATATTATTATATTTGTATAAGTATTCAAGATTACAATAAAAAAAATAAAAAATATTTCAAATTACACTAATAGGGATTTATGTTTTTTTAAAAGAATTTAAATTTGGTGGTGTCAATGAATATGGCGTAGGCTTATATACAGTACTCCAAAATACTACCGTATCACTTTCTACATGATGAATAAAAAATATAAATGGCTTGTTTACATTAAAAACAGTCTGGCCTCCTCTTGTGATAGTTACTACAGTAGCTGCCGATGCCACGGTACCAATTTCATTGACATCAATTTCAACTTGATGTAAAATGTCACTAATGTAAGAACCTGGATCTGTGGCCATATTTGATAAATCAGCCTTTGAAGGGTCAAACATTTTGTTAATTCCTAAATTCTAAAAACAAAAACAACAGATACATTAAAGTCAAATTGCATTGAAAACTAAGTTAAATATGTACCTGCAAAACTGGTCGTAGGTTGGTCAAAGACTTAAGAGTCATTTTAGGCACAAAGTATGTGAGTTCTGTGAGTCTAGCATTTCTAGTTATGTTTCTGATTGTTTTTCCGTTCATTTTAGCTACTACACTGCTTAAACTGACATTTGTGTCGGGAAGCAAAAAATATGTTATAAATTGATTGCCTTTATATGGTAGCCCAATGGCTTTAAACTCTAGTCCTTCATTTTTATGAAACAATACTTCACTACTGCCAACCATCATTGGGACGTATATGCAATCTTTGTTTGGTCTTGGTGATTTTCTATCACCAGTGATTAATCCATAACAAAATGGTTTTCTAAAATTAAATATAAAATTTATTACAGTTAAATGTTAATATTTTAACTAACTTTTATAATATTTTGAATTACATTCTGGTATAGTTGATAAAAAATGGGTTCTCCCATTCGCCTGTGAAATATAAAGCACTTGCAATAATGGTCTTGGTATCAGCTGAAGGAATGTCAGGCAATATGTCATTGATTTTTCCACGTGTTTGATTAGACACCCATCTATTTAAATAAAAAAATTGTTACATAACATAATAAATCTAAAAATGTTCATTGTATTAATTTTATCCTACATTCAGTTTCAAAGATATATATTTGATTAAAAATTAAATAAACTTTGAAATTTCAGTTTAAGTTTTAATATAGGTTTTGATAACGGTTTTTAAAAACTAATAAATTGCATTAGTCTTTAATATCTCTTTTTTTGTGTGCATCACTTAGTAAATGTTTTCTAATATAAAATTGTGACAAAATAATTAATAATATATTTTATAAAACATAATTATAGTAATTTGAGATGATCAAAAAAAAAAAAAAAATTGATTAATAGAATAATAGGTGACCAAAGTTTTTAAAAACTAAAATTTATAATTCAAAATTGATAAAATTCAATAAATAAAATATTCATTAAATTTATCAATACTAAAGATTGAAATAATGTAATATTTGAAAATGAAAAACTAGTTAGTGAAATAATTCATAATCTATGATCAATTAATCATTCAGTTAATTATAGGCCCTAAGATTTTACAGTTAATACATAAGAATCTAAAATAAATGTATATGTTTATATTTATGATCTTCAGAAATATGGTATATATATTATAAATAGGAAACAATAACTGAGCAGAAAACTAACATACATTATCAGGTTTATAAATATATTAATAAAAATAAACTAAACATTTACAACAAAAAACCGAAATGTTTCAAAGAAAATTAATTAACTAAAACTTTATGACCTTTTGTATTTCATGTATGGTTAGTGATTAATACGTACTGGTTTATAATATGTTTTGTGTGTTCTCCGTCTGATTTGAAGTTAACTGTAATCAATTTGGATTTTAAATAGTCTTCAGCTGCTTTTATAAAATTTTTTGTAATATTATAACCATTTTGAACAAATATTGCTTTTGCTAGGTTAACTTCTGTGCCCAATTTTTCACCAGAGTTAACTTGAAAGTAATTTAATAATAATCCCAAATCCTTAAAATTTTGGTTACTACTATAAATATATAAAAAATATTTTTAGAGTTTAGATCCAAAATAAAATTTACAGACTCACTTGTCAGATAAATGGCTTGTTGTGATCTCATCATAACCAAACAATTTACCAACTTCTGTTTTAGTTTCACCATGAGCTCCCAGAAGGACAAGTGACAAAGCAGCTGCTATACATATCGGAGATATAACTATATTGTGATCATGATTAGAGCTATGTGATTGTAAACTTTCAATTGATCTGTCAATATTCAATGTTGCATCTAATAAACCTATAGACAATGTCTGAAATTTCAAAGTATAATTAACAACAAATACAATACAAAATTAGTGATAAAATAATTTACGTCTGCCTTTGAAGTTGAGTTTTGTACGTGTTGTTGAATTGTTTCATTCATAGGTTTAGTTTCATTCATAGGTTTAGTTTCATTCATAGGTTTAGTTTCATTCATAGGTTTAGTTTCATTCATTGTATTAGTTTCATTCATATTAAGTGTTTCATTCATTATTGTATTTATGTGCATAGGTTTATTTGTTGGTGCATTAGTTTCATTAGTCATTTTATCTAGGAATATAGAATTCATAGGTCTAGTTTCATTAGTCATTTTTTCTATAAACATAGAACTCATGAGTCCGATTTCGTTCATAGTTCCATTTTCATTCATAGCTAAGGTCTCATTAATAGGATTTTTCTTCACCACAGTATCCAAAAAAATGATTTTACTGCCATCCACTATTGACAGTAGAATGTAAATATTTAAACTTAACAGCAACATTTTTGACCACATCTAAAAATATATAAACACAAGATGTAGTTTTTAAAGGAAAATTGAACATAAAAAAAATTAGACTGTTCCTATCAAAACTAAAATATCAATTAATAGAAAGACCATTTGATTTCCTGTTAAACATAAAAAATATTACTGCCTAGGTTAGCCTTGTGTTCATGAGTCCAGTCACAACCATAATTTAAATTTTTTTAAATTTTATAATTAAATCCTATTCATGTCGATGATTAGATATCTGATCCCAAGTTTGACTGTGTTTATAGTTTAATAACACTTAGGAGGAAATTATTTTGTTGTACATATTATATTAATTATGTATGTAAAATAAATACTTAGAGGTAGTGGCGTAATCCTCATACTACTCATATTACATGATTAAGTTGTAGAACTACACTAACAAGTAACATGTGTAAATAAACATAATAATATAATATAAAAAAAATCTCATTTTAAACATACCTAGGAAGAAACATTATTAAAATAATATAAATATACATTATGATTATTATTATTATTTTAATACTTTAACATTAAAATATACCTCTGCAGTAGGTCCGACGGTGGTATCCTATGTAGATAATGTGGAGTTCACGTAGTGCGGCGTGAATTCATTAAATATAACTGATCGATTCTCAATCCAATACCTATTTAATAATAATAATAATACTCGTATAGTAGTAGAAATGATAATAATAATGGTCAAGGTCTGGCGTGTGTGAGTGTGGGTATGTTCGTACCGAGTGGTGGGGCCGTGGTGTGCAGGAGCGTATCAGTACAGCAGTTCGTACAGGAATGATTCGTTTTGTTTTTGTCTTCCTGTAATTATACATTATAATAAATAAGTGTAATGTGTATATACATATGTATAATATATTATAGAATATTATACACACAATATATCAGCGATGTTGGGCGCTCGTAACAAAAAAACTCGTTTTTGCACGTTGTAAATTGTAGTCCATTTTACTGTTCCATTTCGTGTGTATTCGACGTGTAATAATAATATTATTCATGTAATTACCTGCGCTGGTGAGCAATATTCAGTCTCTTATATTTCTGAGCTTGATAAATAACTACCAACGTGTACCTATACTATAAAAACGTCGTGAATTCGAGATGCAGAAATGTGCGAGGGGGAGCTTTAAAAAAAAGAAACTTTTATTCATATTAGGTATTATTTTATAATATCGACGAACACTGCACAGGAGTGGACAGTCTGCAAATCGCAGTACAATATGGAGTATGAAATAATATAATTTACGCAACTTATGTTTAAATACGTCGTAGATATAATAAATAATAAAACATAAACCCATTTCTACACATTTTGAAGTATTAGAAAGAATGAACAATATTAATGAATATTAAATAGGTATTGAATAATTCATATTATTATATACCTACTATTGTGTTGGACATTTCAATCATCATTTTGTTGACTCGTCGTTACTCAAATCTTTTACATCGACCTCGGGAGTCGCGATATTGTAAAATCTCAACAAATCTAAAACGTTTAGATTTATAATATTAGACGACCAAGAGTGTCATGAATACCAGTTACCAACATTTTACCAACCACTTGCAGACTGCAGTGTTCGATGTTTTATTTCATTAACCTAGTACCTATACCTACGCATTATTATAAAATAATTAAGGCGATGCAAATAAATAATAATGACAAATAACTATAATATAGGTATGCGTAAACAAAACAAGATGTATTTTGAATATTTTTATCAGTAGGTAGGTCACCAGACACCAATGTTTATTGGTTTGCGAAAATATGTTTTAATAATTAAAAACAAAATTGTGAAGGGTCTGGACCCATCGATTACAGCCTTGTTTGAAGATATAATTAAGTGATGTTGGGGGCTTCGCCCCCCTATAATTATTTACGATATTTTAATTCGTAATTTCTAATTTAAGTAGGAATGCAAATTTTTTATGTAATCAGAGTTCCTATACTATTTCTTTTCAAAAACAAGCACTGAAAATGAGGGTCTTCTCTACTTAATTTTTAACTTACTCTCCAGCCTCCACTCTAAAATAATAACAAAAAAATAAAATATATTCCTAATGGAAATACCAATTGATCACCAAAAGCACAAATACACAATGTATTGAGACATTGTACATAATACCGTTAATGTGTAGGTACTCTATAAACTATATACAATATACAATATACATATTATATAATATATATTAGTGGCATTTATTATTTTACCTTATGGTCTATAGAGTACAGACTGTGCTACTGTAGTTTATACTCTATATATAGTCTGTAGGTACTCACTGGTATCTACCTACCTACTAATTAGTTTTAAAAATAGGAGTATACGTACACTCGTAATACCTATATTAATATTGAGATTTTACAACCATGTATTCAAAGACTATAAATATAATCTAATTAATATTTAGTCCTCGAGCACACATATTTTACAAAATACTCCAAAAGTGAAACTGCATAGGTACAGTGGCATCGTGAACATTTTTGCTTGCGAGACTACATTTCAGTTACACCACAAACATTTTTTATGAGCTGAATATTGAAGGGGACGAAGTTGTCCTTCACCCAACATAACATGATTTCATGATAAATTCATATAATTTTCATAATTATTTAAAATGTATATTGATATTTATAGAGTATTGATCATCATTGACAAAATAATTTTAATAATTGGATATTTTAGTAGCATTTTTTTTTTTTACCTTGCATTTAACTATTAATTTTAATAGTGTGTACATTTTTAAGATTTTGAGTGGAGGAATAAATGTACCTATTGGTTTTACAATGATGTGCTTTATTTTTTTTTGTGTGTGGCTGGACACCTGCTTTTACAGTATACAATTTTTTTTAATTTTTAACTTCAATATCTTTGCTAATAGAAAAGTAAATCTAGTTAGTACGTTTTAGAGGACATAATTAATGCCCAGTACTCTTCGAAATAACAGGATATACAACACAATCCGATAAAAAGCCGCAAATTTTAAGCAAAAATAATTTTTTTCGTCAAAATCAATTTTCCTATTTTGTTAACTCAAAAACAAATAACAGCAAATTGCTGAAATTATATTGAAACTATTTTTTTTTTATTAGCCTTTTGCATTACAAATTTCAATGTTAGGTAACTCAACATTTACTGCACAATACACAAAATCACACCATTAAAATGTGCAAAATTAAATGAGTAAAAAACGATATTATTTTGTTCATAGCAAGTTTCGAATTAATATGTAAATATTAGAATATTATTGTAATCACATTATACTTCTATATATCTAAAATTACCAATTGTCAATTATCCACAGTACTTAAAAATATTTTTAATTATCACGTTAATCTGTTTAAACTAATATGTAAATTGTCACATAACACTAGATATAGATAGTCTTAGGCTAGGAATGTCTTATGTTTAAAATAAATATTTAAAAAAAAGAGTTAAAAAAGTTACGCTCTCAGTGTGCAAGCCGGGGATTCAAAAAGAGTGTGAGAAGGTTCTCAGGGGTTTTCTGTTAGGTGTAGGGTGCAGAGTGGGGACTCGTTATACCCAGTTTATAGGAGTGATAAGGTAAAAGTATTTGTATCCAGTGCGTAGTCGATTGTATTGAAATATAATAAATCTAGGTACATTTAATTTGTTTAACCATGTTGTGTGAAGTAAGTTCGCGACTATGTTTTTATATCTTAAGGCGAATTCCACTGGGAGATTTTTCCAATGTGACGTCCTCAGTTTTTTAAAAACCGAATGGGCGTTTGTATACTCTCCCGATTTTAATGACAAGTAAACTCTCCCGGGTCTACTCCAATACAACCTGATGAGAACATGTAAACTCTCCCGGGTCTACAATACTTCAGTACTACTAATCTAGGGAAGCATGGGGCATTCTTCGTATTACGAAGTTGGTAAGGTTGGAAAACTTGGTTGAGCCATTATAGTCAATATCGTTTTAAATATTAAAATTAAAAATAGGGTTAAGGTAGTAAAATATTTAAATATTTAAATTACGTATACTGGTTAACGGTAATACAATTGATAATAATAATATATGTTATACATTTTAAAGTAATAATACACTTAAATAAATTATGGTGATCCAAACACAAAAATTGCCATACATGTGTACATTCATGCATATTGAGTATTGTTCTATAATTAAAATTAATTTTAATTGCCACACACTATACAAAATTGTTAAATTAAAACGACAACATTAAACTAAAAACATTTATAACATTTATTAAAATATACAAAAGAAATATAATTCTTAAAAATAAATTAACTATTCCAAACGGAAATTTAACCGCCTAGATTTTTTACTCATCTCATTAATTACTTCATCAAAAGTAATATCTAATATTTAATAAGTTGAAGTCAACAAAAAAAAGTCAAAGGGGGGATATAACCTCTAACCTTCCCCCCCTTTTCCACGCCATTGGTGTAGCAATAACATTTAAAACAACTCAGGAGAGCTTACATATTTACTTCAGGTAAACATAAAGTTAACCCGGGAGAAATTACACATTTCCTTCATGTAAACATGATATTGACGAATGACCAGGGTGAGTTTACTATTTGTAAAAATCGGGAGAGTTTACCATCACCCTACGGAATACCTCGAAGATATTTTTTATGAGGGTCCGAATAATTCGGACCGAATTTAATTTGTTGATGAAAGAAGATATTCACTCTTAAAAATGTTGATAGAAAAATGTTTGCTTGGTCAAAAAGCTTAAACATTTATATTGTTCTTATAGTTATTTAAAATATTAAAGATACATAGTCACGATTTGTATCTAAATATTTTAAGTTCAAATTTGAGCGAAATTCGATATTCAAACAAAAAACTATACATCGTACCTATAGGTACATTATAATACTATTGTCATTGAATATATTAATTATATAATTATAAATCAATACTGTATATTGAATAGTTTAAATAGATTAGTTGTATAATAATCTTAATATTAGTCTAAATATTTTTAAAAAAATGTTGTACATACTTAGTAAATAACACATTACGCAGTTATTGGCAAATAGGTTTCAATAAGTTCCCACGGTTAATATTTTTTTAATTACACAACATTTTCAACCTTTTTTTATTTACCTTGCAGCAGTGCAGTGGTATTATATAGGTATATCAGTTGTAGTTTTCAAGAACACTACGCAAGTGCGTCAAATAACATTGAATGCTTAGAGTCTTTTAATTATTAAGGATATGGTGATATATGATAGCTATCATCAACGAATTCAATCAAATGATAAAATCTCTAAGACTGTAGTATAAAAACGTATGGTTTATCGAATTATAATTCTCTACCTAATGAATATTATATTTCTGATTTCAAAAACCAATCGTCGGAGATTTCAATAGTTTTGACACGAAGTCTTAAATCAGTTAAAACCATTCAAGTATATAATACGTGCCAGTATAATATTTCGTTCCGTTCGTATTAATTAAATCCAGTGATTTCAATTCGGGACGATGATGACCACAGCAGCGATCACGGCTTTTAGAAATGTTGGCCATTTTTGCAGTTTCCACCGGTGCAAACAACATTTACTTGTTTCCTATACATTTTTGGAGTGGGTGATTCAAAATAAAATGTATTTAATGCCACGGACGTATATGA